GACGAGACAAAATTTTACACGTTTCAATTCGATGTTGATCCTTTTTGATAGAAATTTATTAATTCGATATAAAATTCTTATAAATTTCAAAAGACGAATCAATTACTCGCTGTTTGCATACTTTACAATCTCACGATTAAAATTCTAATATCGAACATTGTGTACCTCTTAATCGCATTAAATTACATAAAAAAAAAAATGTAAAACGTTATGCATACAATCAAAATCGAATTAAAATTCTTTGGCAAGCACAGTTCGTTAGACGCGACTAAAAAGGACTCTCGTATCGATCGACGAGTTTTTTTTTTTTTTCCCCCTCGAGAGAAAGAAAAGGGAGATGATGTATACCCGGCCCGAGGATAACAATCTTCGATGATAATCGTAGAACTAAGTCATTAAACCGGCACCCTGTTTAATACGAGTCATTTCGGTGACACTATTACTCCATTTTTGTAATAATGTAAACCCCTCCCCTCCTGCGCTGAACGAGATTCGAGGTTGCCGCCGCGACAGCAATTAGAAACCTATTAAACGGTTGATTTACGACTGATCGTAAGGGAGCGAAGGAGGAGGCGGGGAGGCAAAGCGAGAAGAGGGCCGTGAACATATCATTAAAAAGGGGGGAGAAAAATCTCGCGGCGGAGGAAGGAGAGGAAAGAGGAAACGACGATCGAAGCGAACTATAAACGAAAACGTTCAAGCGTAATGGGTTGGACGAAGCAAAAAGGGAAGGTACAATTTAAAGGGAATACGAAAGGGACGCTAGGCGGGACAAAAAGTGAGAAATCGTCGATCCATCTCTCATCCGTTGTTCCCTCCGCGTGGATCGATTCGTCCTTGTTTCGTTATAAAGTTACAAAAGATAATTACCTTAATCGATCGTGATTCTTTAATTCAATTCTCGCATTCTCTGTCCTGCGTTATTTCCCATTTAATATAAGCGAATTAACAATGTGGAACAATTGCAAGATAATTGAGTGGAAAAACTTTTAGATACTTCTTTTACGCTACTTAATTATAATCTGCGTAATTAGTCGATCGTTGATAAATTTCAATCCCTCTTGTTCCATTATTAAAAGTTAATAGCTCGCGCGATCGAGTAGTATTCGATGACGTGAAAAAAAAAAAATTCCGATACAAAAAGTCCTCTCCTCGTAATCGTCTCGATGGTCGATCATCACCACACATCTCTTTTCTCCAATTACAAGAGGATTTCAAATTCAAATCGTGTTCTTTCGAAAGTATCGAAAGAAAGATTCGGATCTACACGCGCGATCTACCTATCGTTCGCGTATCTCGCGCCAAGTACAAGAGCATTCCTATTAAAATCTACTCTACATCGCGTATATACGGTGGATTCGCATCGGTGGTCTTTCGACGAGCCGCGTTATCTGCTCGCCGATCCAAAGGAACGCCAAGCGGTTAAATAACGGTAGAAAGAGAGAGAAACGAAACGAACGAAAAGCGTGGCAACGAGCGTGAACGGCGAAAACGATGGAATCGAGCGGCACGTCGAAATCGAAGAAAGGGAAGAGCACTTTGCCACGCTGATTTCGAATCGATCGACCGAGCCAATCGTCCGCCATTATTCGGATCGCGTTCATTATTAACAAGCGCGCTAAATGCCTGCCCGCGCCGATTATTCTCGAGCGTTATCGTTATTCTAGGATGCGGTAACGGGAATCATGATGGTAATTATTGTTGGAAGGGTAACACGGGTTTCGGAAGGGACAAACGGGTTACTCGTTCCACGAATAAATCGAAGGGAGTGGTGGAGTGGCTGGATAATCGGGCTCGTTCGCTAAGCCAGATCGGCTTCAATTATTCAAATAAGCGTAGATGAGAGAGTCGATAGCCTTGGCGGATGGATGCAAGGTTGGATGGAGAAGCTCGAGGAAGCGTCATACCGCGGGTGCAAACCCGTAATTCCTAGACGATCTTCCTTCCAAAGCAACCTTCTATCCTCTCCTCTTCCAGATTTCGTTTCAAACAACCATTCGAAACACGTTCGAACACACGTTGCGACATCCACTTCTCGGTTTCAATCGAGGATCGCGATCGCGTATCGCTTTTCGCGATGTCGGAGCAGAGAGAGAGAGAGAGAGAGAGAGAGAGTAGAACGACGAGGTGGAAAAGCGAGGCATTCTGCTGCTTGGCTCTGCAACGACAACAACGAGAAACGAGACAACGAAGAATGGATTGGCTGGACGGGTAGGACGTTTCTACGTAAACGAGGATTAACGACACGATTGTTCCCCCAACCGAACGAACGGGTATTATAAACGGTAGCAAATAGGAAGGATGAAAAAGACATCGATGAATAGATAGAAAGCTGGTCTCATCTCACCGTCGTTCGTTCCTCGGAGTATCTGAAGATAATGACAACTTTCTTTTTTCCCTGTCAGTTACTCGGAGATATAAACGCGTTAAGCCGTCTCCTCTCCCCTCTTTTTACGTCGATGGACGATCAGTTGGAATGCCGAATGCTAACAACGAACGAGGCTTTTTCTCCTTTTCGGAACGTGTCAGGCAGCGATGACGCGCGGTAGAGAGACAGTGAGATAAATGAATGCTTCCAATTAGTAATCGATTAGTTTACGGATTTTTTTGGGGCCATCGTTTTAATTGATTCGAGCGAGCCTCGCGGAATATTATCCGAGGTTTTGTTGGTAATTTAATTTAAAGATCTTTTTCTTCTTCTTTCTTTCTTTCTTTCTTCCCTCCTTTCTTTTTTCTTTTGCTATTGCGATATGATCGTCGTAAGTAATGTCGCCTCGAAAACTGGTTTTTCTCGTGCAAGAATCGCATTACTTATTCGATATCTTTAATTGTTGGAGTATTGGTTATGCGGTCATTCGATATGCGTTCGCGCGGTTAATTTTAAGTAATATTCGAGCAGCGTGTTTATATTAATTCGATATAATAAATTCGTAAATAAATTCAACGTAGAATTATACAAAGATTAATTATTTATAGTTTTCAATTATAGGATGATAATTATTATTTGTTCTATAATGTTTAAAATTTGAGATTTAATAAGGCAGAGATAAAATTTATTTACAGCAAATTTTATGAGGAGAAAAAAATTGGAATTGGAACATAAAATAGATGACTATCGGAGTAATACAGTCGTAAACGTAATGAGTTTTTTTCTCTTTCTCTCTCTCTCTCTCTCTCTCTCTTCAAATTGATATTAATTTCGATAAAAGGTTTAAAATCGAGGATTAATAAGAGGTAACGAATTTTCTGAAAATTCTTATTTTCTCTTGGCCGATAACGGCTGTAAATCGTTCGCTGGCAATCTTGAACTCATTCATCTTGTAATGGAATCAATTTGCCATCATAAAATTATTTCTAAATAAAGACAAGATCGTTTTGTATGCCGCAAATATAAGGTCGATCGATCGATCATTGTAAATTGTAAATAGACAGGTTTCGTGTGTGTGTGTGCGCGTGTACCCGCGTATATGTATAAGATTGTAATTTAACTCGGGGTGCTCGAGGCCAATGATTTCAAAATTATTATAAATTCTTCCCAACTACGAGTGATATATTATCGAAAACGTGGCCGGAATATAAATAAGATTGATGAAACTAATGTTAATTACCGACGTAATTACTACAATTATTTTACTTGGCGCGTGTAAGAAGTGTACATTATTCTGGGAAAATTAAAGCAGTACGACGACATATGCGAAATGAAAAGTTGAAATCACTTAAAAACTTAAACCTTTTCAATAATTACTTCTATATATATATATATATTTAATTTTATGCGAAATTATTAATCTTACGATATATAAAGATTCGTGCAATTTAGTTTTAATCTAATTTCATAAAAAAATTTAAAAAAACGTAAACTATAAAATCGCACGTAGTTCGAACAAGAGCAATAATTCGATCGCACGAAACGATCTTGGAAAGTGTCTTCAAATTAGGCTCACTATGTACATATTTCTTGGCCATAGAAATACCAAGAAACATAGTCATCTTTCAAGAATAAAGCCACCTAACACCAGATGTATTCGTACTTTATTATTCGAGCGAGTTGTTAGACCGATATATAAGGCCGACACACAAGGAGTTGAAACGAAGTATAGAAATTCTTCTCTGACGATCGATACTCTATCCTTTCGGATAGAGAAGATTGGAAACGATTGTCCGTCGAATCGGTCGTTTCACCACCGATGCAGTGTGCATTTATAAATAATGTAACCACGAGGAAGAAAGCGAGGTAAACGTCAACATGCAACTGCAGCAGGGTAACACGTACATTAGCCCGCATAATTTTAGCACCGCTTGAACGGAACTCGTTGCGTCACAGCATATCGTGGGTGAAGATGGCATCGTTTCGTTACATAACGCCCTTCGAGAATGCTGCCTTTTGCTTTGTACACAGATCTATTTTCGTCGAATAAATCTCATACCGTTCAACGAAATGCTATTTTCCCTATCCGCGTTCTTGTTCGTGATCGTCGAATCGACGTTGGAAGATCGACACTTTACCTCTTGCTTTTGTACAAATAGTGCAAAGCCTTCTATTTCCGATCCGCGAAGAATTACGCGATATAAATTAATGGAAATGTTTCTCCCGCTGAGCGAAATGTTACGTGAAAAATTTAAATGGTATATTTAAGAGAAAATTGGAACGCAAATATAATATCGTAAAAGAGTATAGTAGGCGAGAAGGAATAAAAAGAAGAGAGAAGAAAGAGAAAGAATAATTAATTGTTTCGCGTAATTCGAAATTTATATGTTTTTAATTTAATTTTTGTATATCGAAAGTTATAATTGTTATATATCAAGGAATTTTTTATTTTTTAAAAGAAAAATAATATAATATAACGATAATTTTAAAGGAAACTCTTTTAACAACACAGATTTCGCGATATCGTCGAGTTTTATTAAATAATTGAATTTAAAAAAAGGATGTTTGATTTATTCTTAAGTTCGTAATACGCGCGATAAAATTTACCGTCACTCCACGTGGTTTCAAAACGCATGCGCGCATTCTTGTCATCTGCATCGAACATGGCGAACGTAGCGAGGTTGTTACGACGAATATCATCGTCCTCCCGACATTTTTGTGGTTTTACACGTTCTCATAGTTCGAGATATAATAACAGTGAAATAAAAAAATGGAATACCGGACTCTTTGCAACATTTTCTATCGCGCTTCTCGTTGGGTACAAATATTTGCGACCTGATATAGCGTATGCCAAGTCTCGAAAGGTATGTAAACAGATCGTTCTATATACAAAATTTAATTTTTTAAATGATATAATATCGTCATTCGAAATAGGAATGTTATCGATCGATAAGACGAGCGATGAAAATAGCATTATTTAAAAAAGAGACGTAAGAGAAAATAATGGATAAACATTCTTGAGTTTATCGATTATATTTTATGATATTATTTATGATATTACTCGATTATTATTTCGACATTGATATCAAATAGAATAGATTTACCTCTATTAAATTTTATTGTGATTCATGTGTCGTTGATTAGAGAAAGAAACGTTACACGAAGCGTCCCTGACTTTTGAGGTTATAGGTTATAGGTTAGAATTTGATACTATTTGTGAAAAAGCAAAATTGTTTACGAACAAAAATTGTTTGCCCCGTGCAAACACAATGTATATAACGTCAACGTTTATTTAAATAGATATTTTACGTAATTACGTATCGTGTATAAATTTTTATCGATAACGAATGTAAATCATAAAATAATTCTAATTAACTTATATAATAATAAATAGCTTGTGAAATGTTGGATACACAGTAATCGTAGCGTTATATTTCGAAACGATTGGTATTAACCGGAGAATGGCAAAAAGGTGCATGTTTTAATATTAAAAATTGCTAGGATTATCACTTGACATAACATTGACATTCGAATTACCATTAATATTACTTTTTTTCACCTGTATTTTGTACTTTATCATATTTACTATCCAATTAGTATTTAATCATGGCTTTTACAAGGGGCTTCTGGCTTTTCAACGTAAAATAGCAAAACCGTGATCGCATAACTCGATAACTCGATCGAAGTAGTCAAACACGTTTCTACGCGAAAAATATGAATCTAGGCGCAGCGACCTATATTTAATAATCTCTAATCGTTTGAATTCTGGTTAAATTTCTAAATTTCTACGCGATTACATTTTTATCAATTATTCGCGTCTCGAATAATAGTAAAAAGAAACGCATTTGACACCACCTCGCTCGTTCAAACCTCTCTGCTACAAAGTATACGAAAAACTTTCGACGACGCAAAAACGAAATTTCAAATCCCGGCCGGAGCAGCATCGACAACTATCTCGCAACCCAGAGGACAACCTGTTCGCGACACGTTCTCTCCGTGGATTCTTTCGGTCTAGCAAAACAAGTGCAGGTCTCCCCGAGATCTCGATTCGCGCAGCCACAAATCACAAGGCCCTCGCCAGGCCATCTTGCAACCACGGCAAGGACTGGCAGCCGTTATCGCGACCGAGATTCAACCGTGCCGTTTATCCTCCGAGCCTGTTCGAGGTCGTCTCAACATCTCTCGACAACGATCGACGGATACGTTAACCGGTGATAAAACGAAATACGGCGAGATTCCCCTCGAATAATATCATCGAACGATGCACGACGACAGTCTATACTTATCTACAAGCGATTCGTGAATAGCCACTTCCCGAAGCAATAGGACAGATCTCTGCTTTATAAGCCGGCCAATCTAGAAGTAACCGCGAACCAAGAAGAACTTAATTTAAACATCCGGATAAACGCATCGGATTTTGATCCATTCCAATCTCGGATTTTCCATTTAGCGGCGATTAGCCGACGGTGATTCGGCGATAATACGTCGGCTACCACGCGGGATTTATTACGGGTTTCTAATAATAACAGATCCGAAATTAGTAAGCGGCGGGTGTAGGTGTAAATCACGATTTTCCAAACGATAAAACGTGTCGGGCGTGTATCGCGAAACACGTTGGATTATTCGATCGCGCGTTTGTACACCTCGAGCTATCGCGATGCGATTACCGTGCTTCTTGTTGCTGGCGGGGAATTGATTATTAAGAGATACGATGAATAATAGAGGAGGAAGGTGGAGTCGGCCGAGGCGAGGCGAGGCGTAATTTGTTAAGGGGCCGATTATCGAACCCGATTTTTTTCGAAAGGGAAAATGCGCTTTAAAAGGGAGGGGGGGGGGGTTCTCGATTGCTCTTCAATTTTTCCCGCTTGCGTATGGCCGAAAGGTACGTGTTTAAATTCATTTACCTCGATCGAGCGTTAATTTTACTTGTAAAAGAAAAGAAAAGAAGAAATCGAAATTACCCGAGTTGAAGTGTTAAAAAATTCGAAGATCGGTTTAAGGCCTGGTAAAACCTGGGTACTCGAAAAACCTGTTAATATTTGCATAAAGCATTGTTTTTTATCTCTCGATATCTCCGAATTCGCTATTGACTACGAGTTAAGGTTAAAATACCGGGGTGAAATAAAAAAGTTGCAATGACACAAATTTCCGTGGAAATGGGGCAAGTGTAATGGTTGTTGTAACAGCCGGTCGGATCGAATCGAGAGCCTCTGGAGAGAGAATCGAATTATCCTCGGTTTCTGTGCTCGAACAAGCGAAGCATCTGATAACGGAGAGCAGTCGTAAATAGAAGGTTAAATCGCATAAAGTGAAATTCCGTTGTACTGCTGTGCGGAGTGCCATAGACACGATCATATAATTGGAATTCGTTTATCAGATGGACCATTACGAGGCGTTGTAATGGATAACCAGCCGTTTATTCGCCGAAGGTAACCTGATTTTCTCTTCTGCGACCACGCGTGACGTAATCTCTTAATTTTGATATCTCCTCGATCGTATATATATATATATATATATATCCGCATATATCGATCGCCGAGATATCCGTTTCGTTAAATTATTCCAAGCATTGTTAATTAAAAATAACTCTCGGCCCAGAAGTGTAACGATAAGTTCGCGAGATGTTAAGAGATTACGCGAAAGATTTATGATTCTGGGCAGGCATTCCGCGAATGAATCGCTCTGCCATTCCAGATATCTGTCTACGTATACGCGCTACGCTAAATTTGTCGAAGCTTTTCAGATCGAGTGTATAATCGTTCGAATAAATATCGAGAGGAGAGGGGAAACGCGAATAAATTCGGCTCTTTAAAATCTTCCTATTAGTTCCCGTTCGATTTCAAATTCGATTTCGTTACATAAACTTCCTTCTTCGAGAAGAGAGAACGAGTTTTTACGAGTTCGTTAAAGGCATTCGTTGAATCGGGACGTGTTGATATTTTTTTCAACGCGAGATCGTAAAAAGAAGAAAATTATGATCGTAAAGATATCTGGAGGATTCTAATAGGCGTTCCACTTTTGTAAGCGAGTAATAAAAAGTATTCGTTCTCTTTGGAAATTTTGATCGATCGAGGTATGATTGGTTGATAAAATTTCGGGCGTAAACGGGCAATTTTATATCGGGATTTATAGAGCGCACGAAACTCACTCTGAAACGTGTATTTTCGCGATTAAAACCGAGTTAAATCTCGCTAGGATTAGAATCGTTTGGACCACCAAGTCGACTTTACGCGCCTATAAATCTAAGTTCATTAGTTTACTAGGTGTGATTCAGTGAACCGCGAACCGTTTTACGAGACATCGACGCCGATCAAAGATTTCTCTTCGGGCCCTTTTTAACCGGAGTATCTTTAAATTATCCCCGGTGAAACGCGGTTTCAATCAAGCGTGGCTTAGATTGTTATATAAATAGCCCTCAGTTTATGTCGAAGAGGGAAGTTAAAACTTAACGAATGGCGATCTAACAAATAATCGAACATTTAGCTACAATTCCAACGCTTATAAGTCTAGACTTAATTTATTATCCTAGCCATACCGATGATAAACCGATTAATAATAATTCCACGCGATTGAAAACGCTGGTTGGAAGAAGTTCATCGAATCCTAGATGAAAAATAAAGGGAACGAACGGTACGTCGCATCGCAACCATTGAAAGCATCGGATCGAGTTATAGATAAACGATTACGGCCAGTGTGCGCACTATGGCGAGATATATCCAAAGGAGGAGAATCCCTGAGAAATGTCGGTCTGACAAATGATCGAACGTTTAATTAATTATAATTCGAACGTCTGTCGCGATTTAATTTATTATCGCGGATAAACGTTATATAATAATTGTTCCCAGCGATTCAAAACACTTGTCCAAGTCATCGAATTCTGAGAAAAATAAAGAGGCAACGCGTTGCATCGCGTCGATCGAAAAGCGGAAGCATCATTCCCGATAAACACGTCAGTTCAATATCGAAAGCCTCGATCGAATTAGATAACCATTATCGCTATTAACCGCTAAGCACACACGGAGGAGGATATACTTGCTTACCCGAGGGTAAACTCGGTTCGTCAATGAAAATTTTCATATCCAAATATGCATATGCAAATACGCGCGCGGAGAGCGCTGGTTGTTACGCTGGTCTGTTATCTGATTTCAATTTCCTGCTGCAATCTCGGCGCCACCGTGGTTCGCCGTAAGATCCGTAATCACCGTTGCATTATGCGGAGAGACCATACGCGTGGATCTCGGCGGTGTGGAGAGGCAGGTGCACGCTTGCCCACGCGATCGATCTGCCGACCCCTTTCGACCATACCCGTTCCACCTTTCTATCCCAGACAGAACGAAACGGATTTGGAACGGCCGCGCGTTAGAATTTTCCACGCGGAAATCGATGCGTGGAAGGAATTCTATCCGAGGATGATCGAGAAACGGCGAAATTTCCGCAGAAATATTACGACGCGGAATAAAATAAAAGGTTGGCTAAAAAAATTCGCATTGTTCCGAAACGACGGGTTGATTAAAGGAGAAGAAAAAGAGAAAGAAGTAAATAAGTTTGGCAAAACGACGTCCATCGCGTTATACGAGGGGATTAAACGGAAGCCGTGTCCAGGTATCGTCGCCCGAAGTATTAACGTCGAAACGGTGGACGGCTGAACGTCACCCGACACGAGTCGAACGTGTTCATGGAAGCTCCTTTCGAACGAGAGAAATGGAAATGGTTAGGCGAGGCGATGGCCTGGAAGGTGATCGCCCGCGGAGAGAAATACCGTGTCCTTAAACACGGTGAAGCTTTAAGGTAAAACCGATCCGTGTTTCGATTGTCTTTTTCCCCATCATCGAAAAAAAATCGTTGCCGTCGCGTGCATCTCCTT